TAAAGAAGTTTGCAAACTTTGGAAATCCCTATATGACTTCAAACAGTCTCCACTTGCATGGTTTGACAACTTTGCAGAAGTTGGTAAGAAGAATGGGTTATCTCTAACATGAATTCACGTAAAAGAAAATATTTCAAGAAAACTTTAAAAAAGGGGCAGAAGTATTTATTGATGCATATTGTGCAGACTTAGTTACAGAGAAGATTAATCACCATATGTTACACATTTTGTGTGGGAAGATTTAGTTGGCGAAGCAAGAAACAGTTTGTGGTGCCTAGAAGCAATGCAGAAGCAGAGTTCAGAGTTAAGTTTCATTGGTGTATATTACTCTTGGAAAGAAGATTCAAACATAAAAATCCATGAAGCTATTATGTCAAACTAAAGTTGCTATAAGTTTTGTAAAATTCTACTTCACCCTGAAAGAACAAGACGGGGAGATGAATTGACATTTCATCGGAGAAAAGATCGAGGAGGGAATCACAAGTCTTGTTTACACCCCTATATGACTTCTGACTTATAAGATTCTTATTAAGTTTCCCTTATGCACCAGTTTAAAAAATCTAGTATCCAAGTTGGGCATAATTGACATTTACAACTCAGCGTAAGGGGAGTGGAATTTTTGGTTCTATCCATCTATGGAATGGACGGGGATTGAAATAAAAATCCAGAGAATTTAATTTTGCAATCTCTTATGTTTGAGATGCTTTGATTAATTGGAGGCTGGTTCTGTCTTGTATTCACTGTTCTTTTCTAGGTAGATCAAATAAGGTAGGCAAGCTAGAACTCTGGGAATATGGCAGTGATTATTTGGTCCTATTTTAGCTTCCAGGTCCTCTTGTATTCAGCTGATGAATTGAAGGAAAAAAACATCTCTATTTTCAATAGAAGATGTATAAATGCGATACTATACATGCTAAAAGAAATATCTTACAATCTAAACTCTCCATTAGGTTGAAGCATTTTCATGCTTAATGAATGACTAAATTATCTTCAAATTTCTGGAAATTTGATGTCCTATTACTTTTTGGGGATTAGATCAAGTCAATCAATCTTTATTTGACCACCAAGTAGTTTTCAGGATTAAACAACAACAACAACATCAAGCCTTTTTCCCACTACGTGGGGTCGGCTACATGAATCCTTTTTCTCCATTGTGTCCTATTAAAAGTCAAATTCTCGTTTAAATCTAATAAAGAAAGGGCATTCCTAATATTTTCTAACCAAGTTTTTTTAGGTCTACCCCTACCTTTCTTAACATAAGTCAAATCTAATACCTCTATTCTCCTAACCGGGTCATCACAAGGCCGGCGTTTTATGTGACCAAACCATCTAAGGCGACTTTCTCTAATCTTATCTTCTACTGGAGCTACTCCAACCTTTTCTCGTATATGCTCATTTCGTATCCTATCTCTAAGGGTAAAGCCACTCATCCACCTGAGCATCCTCATATTTGCCACACTTAACTTAGTATTATGCTTCTCTTTTAAAGGCCAACATTCGGCACCATAAAGCATTGCAGGCCTCACTACCATCTTATAGAATTTTCCCTTAAGTTTGAGGGGTACATTTCTATCACATAACAAGCCCGATGCATTCCTCCACTTCAACCATCCAACTTGAATTCTGCTGATAATATCCCCATCTATTTCACCATCACTCTGAACAATAGATCCAAGATATCTAAAACGTGTACTCTTATTAATGACTTGATCGCCCAAAGTCACAATCCCCTCACTAGGACTATTACTGCTAAAATTACACTCCATATATTCCGTTTTAGATCTACTCAAGCGAAAACCTTTAGACTCTAAGGTTGACCTCCATAATTCAAGTTTACCTTCAACTCCCTCTCTAGTCTTATCAACAAGAAGAATATCATCAGCAAAAAGCATACACCAAGGTACATCATCTTGCAAATGTCTAGTGAGAACATCCAAGACTAAAGCAAAAAGATATGGGCTTAAGGCTGATCCTTGATGTAACCCAACCGAAATAGGGAAATACTTGGACAATCCACCTTGTGTTTGAACACAAGTAATAGCTCCTGCATACATATCTTTAATGATTTGAATATAAGCATTATTAACTCCTTTCGTTTCAAGAACTCTCCATAGCACTTCTCTTGGAACTTTATCATATGCTTTTTCTAAATCAATAAATATCATATGTAGATCCTCCTTATTTCCTCTATATTTTTCCATCAAACCTCTGAATAAATGTATGGCTTCCATAGTCGACCTACCCGACATGAATCCAAATTGATTTTGAGAAACATTAGTATCACACCACAACCTAAATATCATCTTCTAAGAAAAGTATTTTTTGATCTTCATCCTTAATACACTTCACTTGAACTAAATCCTTACTACTCCTATCTCTTTGTTTGGCTAACTTATACATATATCTTTCTCCCTCCTTAGTATTTAATCTATTATATAAATCGCTAAAAGCTAATGTCTTTGCATCGCATATTGCTTTCTTAGAATCCTTACGAGCCACTTTATATAATTCCCAATTATCAGAATTTTTAAAATTAAACCAATTTTTATAACAAATCTTCTTATTTTTAATCTTTTCTTGCACAATTGGATTCCACCACCAACTATTTTTACTATTAGGAGCTTTTCCCTTAGATACTCCAAGCACATCTTTTGCAATATTCTTAATATCACTAGCCACTTTTTCCCACATAATATTAGCATCCTCATGCACAGACAAAATCTTAAGATCTAAAATCTTACTCACAAAAATATTTTGGTTAATATTCTTTAAATGCCCCCATTTAATCCTAGAAAATTGTTTTACTTTATTTTTTATTTTATGCCCCTTTATCTTAAAGTCCAAAACTAATAATCGATGTTGGGTACATAAATTTTCACTCGGAATAACTTTACAATCTTTGCAATCTAAACGATTTAATTTTCTAATAAGAAAATAGTCAATCTGGGTTGTATTATATCCATTTTTATAAGTGATGAGATGCTCATTCCTTTTCTTAAATAAGGTATTAGCAATTGAAAAATCATAAGCTAAACAAAAATCTAATATGGTCTTGCCACCTTCATTCGTCGTTCCGAATCCATGGCCACCATGAATGCTTTTAAAATCATCTACCTCTCTACCAACATGTCCATTTAAATCTCCTCCAATAAAAACTCTTTCTTCAAGAGGTATATTTTGTATTAATTCTTCTAAGTCATTCCAAAAATTTAATTTAGAACTCATATCCAAACCTACTTGTGGAGCATAAGCACTTATAATATTAACAATCTTATCATCAACAACAATCTTTAAAGCTATAATTCTATCTCCAATCCTATTAATTTTTATAACATTATCCTTTAAACTCTTATCTATAATAACACCTACACCATTTCTAGTACGACTCCTACCAGAATACCAAAGTTTAAATCCTAAACTATCAATTTCCTTAGCCTTATCTTCAACCCATTTAGTTTCCTGAATGCACAATATATTTAACTTCCTATGAATCATAATATCTATTAATTCCATTAATTTTTCTGTAAGGGAACCTATATTCCAAGTTCCTATCCTAATTTTAGTTTCATGGACTAGCTTCTTTGCCCACATCCGTCCTTGATGTGGGAACCCTTGCCTATTTAACACTGCACCCGGGCGCCGGTGCAGCGGCCCTTGCACACTTGGCACTGTATTCAGGCCATACAGCGCGTCGCTTCCAGGGGACGCCCTAGCATTAACACAATTTCTTAAAGGATTCATGTCCTTATTGTTCGACAAGTTTTACGCTGGCTGTCGACTACCTAACACAACCCTCCACTTTTCTCATCCAGGACTTGGGACCTGGCAACGACAGTTTTCAGGATTAAAAATGAGCTAAAATAAAATTGTATTCAGAATTAACTTTATCCATCTATCCATCTGCGAGAAAGTTAATGGAGATAAATTTCTGTATCTATATAACCATTCATATTAACATTGTGAAGCTTTTTTCAGTAAAAATTTCCCCCTTCATCTATTTCCATCTATGATGCACGGACACAGACACGGCACGACACAGACACAGGACACGTCTTTTTTTGAAAATATAGGACAAGAGTACGGCGTGGACACGACAATACTTTTTTTATATAGTGTATATATATTACTGTAATATCATATTAAAAATGACAAACAATAATAAATGAATGACACGATAACTTGTCTAGCTTATAATATAAAATATTTAGTACAAAATATCTAGTACAACCACAAAAATATAAGCAAATAATCACTTATTACAACATCAAGCATTTAAGCTTCAACTACTAGGATTAGCTTTAGAGGTTTGTTTTTGGCCTTCAATATCATCATCATTGAATATCACTGCTTTCAACTCTGATTCAACAAGAGAAAGATTTGTAATTGTGCAAAAAGAGAGGAGATGAAAATATCTTCACTGCCAAAGAGAAATGAAAATGAGAATATTCAATGAATGGGTATTAAATGCAGACGTTGATTTGGTGTTGTGGATAGGAATAAGAAATTTAATTTAAATCTCGCCAAATATAGGAAATTATATTTTTAAAAAATTATAAAATATTTAAGATACTCGTGTCGGACACGCGTGTCCAATTTGTTTTAATATTTTTTAATCGGACACGTCTTTGGTGTGTCCGACACATGTCGGACGAGTGTCGTGTCGGACACTGCACGCCTCTTTGAGGAGAAGTGTCGGTGCATCATAGATTTCCATGTATTAGTTCAAAAGTTTTTATTCAACAAATGCCATGATAGGGCTCTTCCTTGAACTGGTGTAATCGAGTTTTAGGTTTCTATCAGGTTGGCCTTTTTTTTCTAACTAATTTGATTAAATAAAAATCACTTATTTCTGATTTCGTGTCAGTATCAATTATTAATAACTAATTACAATTTACGAATAAAAATCACTTATTTCTGATTTCGTATTAGTTTCTTGCTTTGTTGAACATCCACATGTCCTATGCAGTATTTCTAATTTTAATGCATTTTTCTTCTTAAAGCTTGCGAGGGAAACATTATCATTTTGGGTGAAGGCTTTCTCAGAGGACACCGCAAAGAGATTGGAAAACTTTGGATTCATTCAATTCCGACCAGGAGGTAAGCACAAGTGTATTGCAAGTCAGAATGGTTAGTGAGGCCGTGTCTTTGGTGAAATTTTAACTTAATATTGTATTATTTTGAAATAATATTTCTTTTTAGTTGAGTAAGCCACTAAAGTTTTTTTTATGTCCTTGTTTTAACGCATCATTTGTTGATGAAAGCCATGCTTTTAACATTTTTAGTGTACCTGAGATTATTTCCCTTCCATTAGCTTCAAAAAAACATCTTGCTTCAGCATTTAATTATTATTTCTTGCTTTATACAGGTGAATATCATGGCAACAACCCTGAGATGTCAAAACTGTTGCATAAAGCCGTTCGTGAGAAAAGTGAGAGTGCTTATGTTATTTATCAGCAGCATCTTGCTAACCGACCAGTAAATGTTAGTATTGTTTCTCCATGACTTCAAAATTCTTTTGAATTTAACTTTATTGTGCCTTGCATGCTTAATAAATAATGTGAGTTTTTGTTAATTTTTTATGATTTTTGTTACATTTAACTGTGCACACGTGTCCATGTGCTGTAGGTTCTTAGAGATCTTCTGGAACTTAAGAGCAAACGTCCACCTATTCCAGTTGGCAAAGTTGAACCTGCATCTTCCATTGTGCAACGTTTTTGTACTGGTGGAATGTCTCTGGGAGCTATTTCTAGGGAAACACATGAAGCTATTGCAATTGCAATGAATAGGTTAGGTGGAAAATCTAATTCTGGAGAGGGTGGTGAGGTAGATCTAATTTTCATTGTACACGTTTTTATGTACAAGTTTCTTGATAACATTTAATTTATGTATTTGTTGGCCTTTGAATGTGCATTAATCATAATGCGAGTATGTTACTCCTTGTAGGATCCTATCCGATGGAGTCCACTTGCAGATGTTATTGATGGATATTCTTCAACGCTTCCTCACCTCAAAGGTCTCCAGAATGGAGATACTGCAACAAGTGCAATTAAACAGGTTACGTTCTTTATTTCTCCAGCTTCTCTTTTGAACTTAAGACTAATGGGGGTATATTCTATTTGTTTTATATTGCAATTGTTATTTGGATGAGCATGCGGTTGAAATGCAACCATAATTATCTCTAGGTGATTATTAATGTGCAATTTTTGCATGTATGGACCATTTGAACAAGTGCACATAAATTGAAGGAAACATGCATTTGTACTAGTGGCACTTGATTTCCTTATGCATGCATGAACTCTAGGAATATGAATTAGGGCATGTGGTGCATATGTTCATAGGTTTGTAGTGGTACATACTTGTACAAATGCACATGCTTCGCATGATTTCGTCCATATAGAAATCTTCAAAGGATGATGATATTTTACATATTAAATTATATGGTCCAAAACCAAATTGCATCTATATAAATGTAATAACTAGTGTACAATTATAATTATAAGTTTTTATATTTTGGTTTTAAAGTTGAAAAACTATTCTCATGTGGTTATGAGAAAGTGTGTTGTTAAATTGAGGAAGTGCCACAAAGATATCATTTGATCAGATAATTTCATTAAGAATTAAAAGATAAAAAGTTTTACAGTCATTAACAAAAGAATAAGGGAGTAGATGATGACATATTTGCTAGAGCTCATAGCTTGAAGGCTAAAATGGAGAACTGCCTCAAAATTATGATAAAATAAGAGAATAGCGAAGACACAAAAATAAAGTTTGCTATGTTATACAAATGATAATGTTGGGCATTAAAGAGATCCTTGTTAGTCAAGTTAAAGTTGACAAAAAAATATAATGTTAAGATGCAGCTGTGGTGAAATTAGGAAGGATATTGTAAAAATTGATTATATTAGAAGGTAATGGAATCATTTATTTGTGGTTTACTTGGCACAAAATTCTATAACAACATCCTCCCAAGGTTTATATGGAATAGGTAGATCTGTATTTGATGTAGACAACTAGATAGAAAAAAGTCAGAAGGGGAGAACACTAGTACAAGTTGAACTTTTCTCGATTCAAAACATAGAATGCCAACATAAAACTAACCTCGAAACAGACAAAAGCTAAACAAACGAAAACTAAATTAAAAATAAAAACAACTACCCTCAGAACAACCGACTAGTGGTCACCCACATGCAATCGAAATAGTAGGCAATATAAAAGATGTGCTTAAGGGCATGCAAACCAACGGTCCACCACAGCTACTTGTGCCAACGTCCACCAAAGCTCCTCCGACAAATGCTACCAAACCGGCCAACCAACACCTCCAATAGCTTGAGAAGAAAGATACAAGTGGAGTGGAACTAATGGAGAGAAGAAACAGATAAGAGGCCCAAGACGAAATCGAAGAGAGGAAGAGAGAAATGGAACAAGCCCGCAAGCTTTCCCAAGAAGAACCCTTAGGTTTTAGAGAACTTTGCTGAGCAAACAAAAACCTTTTTATGCTCCAAAACATCACATATATATAGGAGAAATGAGACAGCCAAACAGCCCAAAATACCACCAACCAAACCAATCAGGACAAGGGAAACGGAAGGCTAGCAGGCTGTCCAGGAGCAGCACCCGAAGAGCCACAAGGGGGACATGAACGGGCGCCCACAGGGAATCGGAACAGTCAGCCATTGGGATAGAAACCAGCCACGGGACAGGAGCCAGGCGGAGGAACCGAAGGACCACAGAGAGGGGAAAGAACCAATTCCACTCCACATAATGAGCTGAAAAGGAGGTGAACTATCAATAGTAATGAGCTAAAAAAGAAGAAGCAGCTCAGCAATTATGAGCTAGAGCATAGCAGCTCCCAAAAACACAGCAAAAACCAAACAACCAAGCCCAAACCGAGAAGCCATCAACAACCCAAGAGCCAAGGCACCAAAATAGCTAGCACACCCAAAATTTGCCAAGCCCAAAGCACAACCTACTCATGATCATTGGTTTCCTTCCATCATAGGGTAGCATAAAAAAATAAAAAATAACTATAACATTCAAATTACAATAAAACTAAAACAAAAAAAATGAAAATTGCATGCAGCAGTATTGAACTCTTTCTTATGCTTCTTCCTTCCATAAATTTTTCATAACGTGAAAAAATATATGCCACTTCTTTTTCAATCTATGCCAAAAAAACCTACCTTTTAGTAATTATTATTGTCTTGTCTCTCTCAAAATGCTTACAAGCACCGCCAACATGCAAGTCTAATATCAGAAAGTTCCTTAAAAATGAATCTGGAGTAAAAAGATGAGTTCCCTTTAAATGTTCATCTTTAATTAAAAAATCTTTAATAAGCATGCATGAAATATTATGCAAGTCTTGATGTATCTCACTAATATCCTTACAAGTAACATATTCCTTTTTTATGTGTTCAAAACTTGTAACCTTAACTTGCATTCTGTCTAAAATAAGAAATATAATTCGTTCTGAATCGGGTCGGTTGAACTTCCTTCCGACGGAAATCATCTATTCGTAGGGATATTTTCTTCAAGATCTTCTAGCTGATTTTCATCCACCACTAACTTGATGTTTTTATCTTTTTTCCATTTTTCTAAACACAAAAAAACGAACAACCTAGGCTCTGATACCAAATTGATGTAAGCAAAAATTAAAAAAAACTCTAATTTTTGCAAGCATACCAAAAGTCTTCCTAGAAAAATAAGAAAGTACACAAAATACCACAAAAATAGACAAAATACGACATTTAAACAAAATACAACTTTTATAGGATAAAGACGATCCTTACAAACTTATGAAATAAAAACAAGCATAAAACAACATCTAAAGGAGCTTTCATTTGTCACTTTGAGAATAAAGATACAAATGGGGTGGCCACTTTTGCAGAAAGAAGAAAGAGATAAGAAGCCGAGACGAAAGAGAGGACAAGCTAGCAAGCTTTTTTAGAAGAAGAGAAGACAAATAGATCAAGCTCGCAAGCTTATCCAAAAAAAAACCCTCAGGTTTTCATAACATCCTCTTAAGCTTACAAAAACATCACACACACACACACACACACACACACACACACATATATATATATATATATATATAGGAGAAATGGAGCAGTCAAACAGCCCAAAATACCCCCAATTAAATTAATCAAAACAGGGGAAATAGAAGGCCAAGTGGCTGCCCAAGAGCAGGAGCCGAAGGGCCACATATGGAACTAGAAAAGGCAGCCACGGGGACAGGAACATACATCGCAGGGGAGCCAAGGGAATCAGAACAGGAAACCAAGGGGGAAGAAACCAGACACGAGAAAAGGGAGCCGAGGGGAAACTGAAGGGCCTCAGAGGAAGGGGGAAAGGCAGCCACTGGAAACACTAAAATCCAGCCACGAGGAGAGGAAAAGGCCACGGGACAGGAGCTAGTGGAGAAACTGAAAACCAAAACACAGTAACAAATATATTTAATTGGTGTGTGTATAATTATCAATTATGATAATTTAATTTGAGCATTAATTATGATTATTTTTGTATTTTGTAGTATCACCCAAAGGAGAACTTCAATATTTATTTGACTGATTAACTGAATGTTATCTGAATCTGCTTTATGCTTTTGAATTTAATATTCAAATTATCGATATGTGAGAATTTTGTATTTTATTTTGCAACATCTAATTATGTAGTTCTTCATTCGCAAGCTTCATCTATTATAAAGTTCAATGTGCTTAATTATTCTGAATGGAGTGAACAAATCCAGTTTCATTAGGAGTTTTGGATCTGGATTTTGCACTATTTAATGATAAGCCTACTGCTCTTACTGATACAAGCAGTGTTGAACAAAGATCTTTTCATGAAACTTGGGAAAGATCAAATAGATTAAGCCTAATGTTTATGCGAATGACTGTAGCAGACATTATTAAACCAACACTTCCAATAACAGATAGTGATAGTGCTAAAGAATTTATGAACGACGACTTCGCTGGAGCGGATGTGATCCCTGATGAAGTGGTAGTCGATCTCAATATTTTTTTCTGGGTGTGAAAGACGAAGTTGTTGGCGTGAGCTAGTGGAGATGCTATCACAGTATAGCTTTGTCTGAGAGCTCAGGAGACGTTGAAGCTATGATGCAGAGACACGGACATGGCGACACGGGTACGATACGACACGGACATGTTAATTATTGAAAATATATGACACAGACACGGGTTGGACATGGTATTATAGTTTTTATATTTTAAAAATAGTGTAAAAAATTAAATAAGTATAATTTAAAAATAATTTAGAAATAATAAGTCATTTAACTAGAATTTGTCATTAGTATCAGAATGTCGAGAATCAGGCCTCAATGCCGTTTATCAGTCACCAAGAGAAGAGATGACAATACCTTCACTGCAAAAGAGAAATGAAAATGAGAATATTTGATGAATGGGTATTAATTACGGATATTGATTTGGTGTTATGGATAGGAAATAAGAAATTTTGTTTAAATCCCGTCAATTACATGAAATTATATTTAAAAAAATTATAAAATATTTATGATACGCGTGTCAGACACGTGTGTCTAAGTTGTATTTAATATTTTTTTAATTAGACACGTCTTCGGCGTGTCCGACACGTGTCGAAGGAGTGTCGGATGAGTGTCGTGTCGGACACTGCACGCCTCTTTAAGGAGAAGTGTCGGTGCATCATAGCGCCGAAGTCAGTGAGAAGATGTCATAACCAGATAATGTTTGAGGAGGCATAAGCTAGTGCACGATATGCTGCTTTAGTGGAAGACTTTGCGATGGTGGGTTGTTTCTTAACATGTCAAGAGAGAAAAGTGTTTTCTGAGAAGGAACAATAGCCTGTGATAAATCTACGATCAATGGAATTGGAGGCCCATTCGAAGTCAGCATAAGTATGTAGGTCTCCCTCATTTCTGACTCTTTCTCCAAGGTGGCATCCTTCTCAGAATTGTGCTTCCAAAGCACCTTAATAAAAGTAATCACTCTACTCCTCAACTGCTTAACCTCAAAGTCAAGAATCTTCTCTGGTTCATTAACAAATGTCAAGTCAGGTTGAATGTCTAC